TATGTGTGAAGAAAAACATACTTAAAAAATGATAGAATGAATAAGTGCATTAAATTATTTGTTTGTTAAAGCCAATCGAAATGATCGAATACTAAATTAAATCATCATAGCTTATCATAAAATACAAAGTGCATTAAATTATTTGTTTAAAATAGTAAAGGTGTAACGTCTAAACCTTAATGACACATGCAACGATCATCCGTTGCATAATATTGAAATGATGATCGAATGACAATTATGAATGAATTTGCAATGAAAACAGGAGAGTGGAATGGACTTATCTTTTCTGGAATATACTAATTATCTCATCCTAACTCTCATCGTCACCATCATCATCATCATTATTATTATTATTATTGTTATCATCATCATCATTGCCATTATAATTACCATCACCATCATCATCCTGTCATCCTACTCTTTTCTTCAATCTCGCATTCTTCTCCTGTCTTCCTCATCTATGAATACGAATCTCCAGAATGAATCCGTAAATGTTACATTTTGTTATAATTGTTATTGAAATTTATAGCAAAGAAAAAAGTTAACGAAAGATATTATTTTCAAAGAAATATTAATTGCTTCTTTTTAAAANTCATCTATGGATACGAATCTCCAGAATGAATCCGTAAATGTTACATTTTGTTATAATTGTTATTGAAATTTATAGCAAAGAAAAAAGTTAACGAAAGATATTATTTTCAAAGAAATATTAATTGCTTCTTTTTAAAATTTTGCAAAGAAAATTCCGACAAATTTTTAAAATTACTAATTCTAACTAAAACAATAACTTAATTTCCCGTATATTTCAACTCTTACAATATTTCTCTTTCGTTATTTTATGAAATAGCAAAAAATTTCGAAAAAGTTTTGATGCCAAGCAGTAATTTTCTGTGACATCTTTTCCTTTTGTTTAAAAAATTTCAAAAATGTTAAAGGAAAACAAACATTTATATTCACGGAACTATCGCTTAACAAAATTAAATTATTACGGCCAAAAAAGTGAACCGTTAAATCTGGACAATTTTATTCTCATATAGAAATTACTTTTTTTATTAAGGACCGATTTTAATCGCTTCATTTAATTTTCAATATCTTTGCTGTCTTCTTTAATCGTTCGTATTTCCCTTTGCAAAATATGAGTACTTCTAATATTNGACAATTTTATTCTCATATAGAAATTACTTTTTTTATTAAGGACCGATTTTAATCGCTTCATTTAATTTTCAATATCTTTGCTGTCTTCTTTAATCGTTCGTATTTCCCTTTGCAAAATATGAGTACTTCTAATATTTTAGCCAATTTGACGGTTGCTATAAAATTTTTCAATTTATCAGTTCATTTCTCATCCATCATTTTATTGGCAACTGAAAGAATTTTAAATCTTCTGCTTGTAAGCTTAAGAAAAACTTTTTAAATGTACTATTTAAATTAGTTACCTTTGCCTCATTCAATTATTTATTTATAGAATTAAATCACTTTTAAGGTAAAGGAATTATTATTTATCGATTTTTCTTTGTTTGAATTCAATTATTTGAGTAATTAATTGATGCTTTTTTTGTTTGACCGATATTGATAAACAAATGCGAACAAACTTATTTTGTTACCTAACGAATGCTAATGAAAAGTTTTACTTAGCAACAACGCTATGATTTATTTTTTGATGACACGCAATCACGTGAGAGAAGAGGGGGTGATTTACGCGACCTATTTTGATTATAAATTGCATAGCAAACATAGGAATAAGAATTTTTGATTGGACCAAAATAAATCATATAATGCAAAAAACAAACAGACACAATTAATTTAATTTGTAATAATAAAAAATACAAATAAAAAAAGAATATTTCAAACTTTTGTTAGATTTTGTTGTAATGAAAGATAGGTAATATTGATTTTCCTATGATAACTAAACATTTCAATTTGAATTTATTATTATATTACCCAAAATTGATATTTTCGTGCCTATTAAATGATGCTAAAAGTTTTGAAAGAGATATCAAAGTAATATACTTTATATGAAAAGCATGTCAAAGTGGTAAACTTTATGATTTGGTATTCAATATAAAGCTGTGTTGATGTATTCAGGTTTTAATTATTTTCAACACATATGTACGAAGAATATGAATTGACTATGCTCAATGTTTAACAAACAACTCCTCCATTCACTATATATCACAAGAATTTTGTCAAGAAAATATTTTAATTTAGAAATTTTAAAATATTTTTAATTATTTTTTTTCTTCCATTCTTTTTCTATTTTTTTGAGGAAAATTATTTTTCACAGTGTCATGCTTCATGTTTTCGGCGTATCATCTCTCTGTAGAATTCCAGTGATTTTCGTTGCTTTCTTTTCTTCTTCTCTAAATTTATAAATTTAAAATATTTCTGAAATTATTGATGAATCTTCTAATTTGATAAAAATTCTTAAAGATATCATTTGTTGTTCCGTTGAGAAAATCTTCAGAAACGTTGTTCATTATAGGATTTTCGAAATTAACTTTTTTTGCCCTAATAATTTGTGAACTTCTCGTGACCTCTTATTTGATTTTACTTATCACTCACATCTAATCATATAGTAACTTTTATATTCATGCAGTCTTTTGAGGGAAATTATAAAAACAGTAGTCATTTTCTGTTTATCAAACTAATAAAATTCTGACAATGAAAAAATCAGGTAATTTGTGTGAAAAATGTAAATTTTCGAGAATTCATGTAAGATTTTTTCCTTTTTATTTTTTAAAAGAAAAGAAAAGTATTAATATATTAATTAGACTAATTAAACAAAATATTAATTAAACATTAATTATATTAATTAAATATGAATTAAAAAAATTAAATTTCAACCTTCCAGCATTAATATAAGCTAATTCACCAAAAAACCGAACAAGTTCACAAAATGATCGTCCTTGGTTATTGCAAATGAAACTCGGCTTAGTAGCAACCTTCAATGAAAATTATTGCATCTCATTAATAGCATCTGCTTCATTTGATTTTCTATTAAATTCAGTATTTCAAAAAATAGGAAATGAAACAAAAGTGCTTACCTGAAGACATTCACAAAATACATCATCACAATATTTCCTTCCTAATTGCTTACTATAGCAATCATCATGATTAATACAACATTGATTAATTGGTTCTGAAGATTGATCAAACTTAAGAATTGTTTATACATTAATATATTTAATGATATTTGATAGACATTTTCAAATTTGCAAATTGAATTTTATTTTCTCATTCTGATCACATATCATTTAAATTAATTAAATGTTTCGTTTATTTTTCATAGAATAGCCTAAAAAAGAAATTGTTAAAAATTAGCAAAAATATAAATTGAATTTCAAAATTTGTTAAAAGATGAAATGTCTTATTTTTTTAGTTATAAACTTTGTGCAATTTCAATTAAAAATGTGAACTTCTCAGTCGTGGGCAATTTCGTCGAACCTTAGTTTCACTGACAAGCTTTGTGAAATGATCATTACCACATTCCCATGATACTATTTTTTTATCAGTATCATTGGGCCGAGTATCGCTATCAGTGATATTTTTCACTAAAAAAAGAAACAAAAAAACACTTGATTAACACTTGACTGACACTTGAATTCAATCTAATGATGTATTTTTTTAACTTTTATAAAGGTGATAAGAATTAATATAATTCATAAAATCGTTTTGGCTGTCAATTATAGTAAGAACTTTTGTTATTAACTATTTAAATAAAGCTAATTATTTAAGTTTAGGAATCAGCCGTCAAAAAAATGCAAATACGAAACAGTAAATTGAAGCATAAATTATGAAATTTTAGACAAAGAATGATTTGTTGATGGAATTTTATTACACAGCAATCATGACCTTTGAAATTTTCAAACAATAGATTGGGTCATCAATCATGAAATCTTACACTCATACAAGGGCATAACTCTATTTTGCTTGGTAGATCAAATAACCGCTTCAAATTATTTACTGTTATGATCTAAATTTCCCGAAACTAACCTGTTATAGTAGGCAGTATCGAAGATTTCGTTTGTGGTGCCATGGTCTGCTGTAAAGGTGAAAGGTCGAAGTTTATTGATCTTAATTCGATACAGGTACCATGAATCCAATTAATCAGTATTATTCCAACAAACAGCAACATTGATCAACTGAAATGTTATTAATTGTTTTGAATAATTAATAATCGAAATATAATGAAATTTATAATAATTAATTTGAAGTATGAAAATAGATTTTAAAATTAAAAAATTGATTTTTAAGATAATAAATGTAAAAATGACTGAACAAATTACTTAAAATAATAGAATCGATCATTAAAAAAAAAACATAAGAATTTCAAATTAATTTAATAATCAAATAATTAAAATATCATTCATACATTTAATTTCTGCATTGCTTTCATCAGTTTTATTCAACTTTCTTAATATTATTTTTTTAAATAAAAAAACCTACAACTATTTTGTATTTCACTAATGTCAAAAAAAAAACTTAGAAAATTAGTTGAGAAACAATGCTCTATTAATTAACTTAAAATTAACTTAGTAATTTGTTTTTGATAAGATAATAGTAATTTGTTTATTCGAATAACTCATTAAAATGCGATAATAATAGACAGATGTGTTAAGCTAAATAATATATAAAATACAGATGAAATTATTTACAAGTAATTAAATTCAATATATAATATTTTATAAATATAAAATTCAATATATGAAATTACAGAAAATTTTTGAAAGTTCATTTCCTCTAACGTTTGAAAAATTTTTGACAGTTTATTTCTTTTAACATCTGAAGATTTTTGAGAGTTCATACCTTCTTACATATGAAGATTTTTGAGAGTTCATACCTTCTTACATATGACTGTATTCGATCATACAATGATGGAATTCGACAAATGTTAATGACTGTGTTAATTTATTAATTGAATTCTAATTTTTTTAGTTAAATTTAAAAATTACAAAAGAAGTGAGATGAAAAAAGAAGAGAAAAGTAAATAGAAATCACGTATGATAAGAAAGAGAAATTAATGATCGATTGAATTAGAATTATTAATGAATTATATTACTGTTATCGCGATAATTGAAATATGAAAATTTTTTCATAATTAAACAATAGTATTAAAAATTAATATGTGATTAAATAAATCAATAATTTAACAGGTAAATAAATTGCTAATTATTTAAGATATGTACGAGTATAAAGTAAATAAATTAAATGAGAAAATAATATTCAAAGTAAACAAATAAAATGAGCAAATAAACTAACCATGAAATTTCACTTGCTGAAAGGAAAAAAAAAACCGAGTTGTTTGTTTTAATTGATTGAAATTGGTTGATCAAAGTTGAAGTGTATGTCTTTCATTCGATAATGTTATCATTCTTATCAATAAATTTGATCGCCGTGTCAATTATTGCACTGTGAAATTGGCCAAATGATTATATGTTGATAATTAAGAAAAATAATTTGATTAACTTAAATACTACCTGCAATTATTATTTATTTTAATTTAATAATTAATTTCATGAATGTTTAATTTTCTATAAGGAATGATAGTATTTAATACTGAACAAACATTATTTCATATGAAATAAAAAACCGAAAATATTATCTAAAAAATTTATATAATTAAAATAATTTAATTGGCTGGAATTGAAATGATTCTCATACTATAAATGGTTACTACAACGATCATTAAAAATTTCCGTTAAAAAAAAAAACTTGATTTCTACAAGGGTGAATTTATTATACTGGTTTATAGCAACGATCTGTCAATATTTTCGAATATTTCTCTTTCAACATAATAATCTATTTGAATTGTATTGGGAAAAAAAATTTGTTTTTTCCAATTTTGTCTTTTGTTTTAAAATTCAAATTGATTAAAATTTGCTAAGTAATTAGTTATTTCAAATATCAAATTAGCATAATTTAGAATTTAAAAAAAAATTAATTTATAAAATTTCAAATTACTAATATAATTAATATTGATAAATTTCAAAAATTCACAAAACGAATTAGCAAAATTAAAATAGAACAGTCTTTAGTAATACATTTATTCAATATTTTGCTTCAATAAATATTGCCAGCTTTAAGATTGAAACTGAAAATAAAAAAAGATCTTTTTCAAATTATGCAAATTTTGTCATTGTAACTTAATTAGCATTGTTATTATTATAACGGTATAATTATTCAATTTCTTTTCGTATATTTTAATTTTCTTCTGTTTTTAAAATTAAAAGATATCAAAAATCATATCGCTAATATTCTCAAAAATATTCGAACATTCAATTATCAGTTATATTTGCATATTTGCATATAACACAGATTTATTTTAAATATTTTCAAAAATTTCAATTTGAATTTAAAAATTTCAATTTTTTCAAAAATTCATTTTTTCTTTTGCTTAAATTTTAATTATATTCCTATATAGCATATAATTAATTTCATTTCTGCACTATATAACTTCGATATTTCCTCAGATAAGGTCAAGCAGAGAATATTGTATCATTGGTATTAATGAAATAAGGTCAGGTAGATAGTTATATTATGTAGATCCATATAATTACATTGTATCACAACATTTTAATCATTTAAAGTTATATCACATTATATCACAACATTTAAAGTTGAACTTTGTTCTTTCATCTGTTGCGCATAAAAAGATGAAAAATGCTGTAGACAGGAAATAAAAAAGAATTACAGCATGAAGTAAACAAGTAAGTTATGAAATTTATTTAAATAATTGCCATAAAATAAGATTGATGAAAAAGTTTGAAATATTTAAAGATCATAGAAAAAAGGGTAAAATTAGAAAAATAGTTTTTGAATAGAAAAAAATATCTGATAAGTTATGATAACGTAAGTTTAGAGGAAATGTTGATAAGATAACATATAAATATAGCAGATAAGTTTAGAAAAAATATTGATAAGATTGAAATTTCAAAAAGATAATCGACCGATAAAATAGTTTTGGATTAATTACAACATTATAAAATATGCCAATATTTTATTAACTTTCATTTTATTTCTCTTATTAAAAAAATTAATAATTTAACATTTTTCATTTATGTTGAAAGTGAATATCCATTTTTAAACAATAGTAATTAACAATTTCTTTCTCAAAAAAACAATGGCACAAAATGGAAAAAGCTATTTCAATTCAAGTATGCAATTAAAAGAAATCATTTATCATTAATAGAGAAATGCTACGGAACTGTTACAACAACTAATTTCGCTGTTAATTACATATTATTTTAATGATCATTTGTTTTAAGCTATGAATCCAATTGTTTCTCAATTCTTATTTAAACTTTTGATAATAATATTTAGTATGGCTGATAAATATAGAAATTATTTTTCATTAATGAAGAAAAAAATTTTCGAAATTTTCTTGTAAGCGAATATTTTCATTTTAAAAATGACTGACCAAAATCAAAAATGACTTTTTACTGACCAAAACTGACCAATAAAAAATTGTAACTTATAAAAGTGAAAAGAGAAAAATATTAGTAACTAAGCGATTTGCTAAAAATTTTTAAAATTTAAACAAAATTTTAATTTCTGAAAAAATTCAAAAACTTTTACAAAGTTAATTTATATTTAAAAATGTTTGAAATTTTTAAATTTCAAAAATATCATTTAATTTTGCTTTAAATGCTAAATTTCTTTTTTTCGAAAAGAATTTTCAGTTTGAAATTGAAATTTGCAATTAATGAAAAAATGGAAATAACGAAAAACATTTGATGATTGGATTTCAAATTTAGTATCGGATTGATTTTTAGGGTATTCATCATTATTATTTAGCGACTGCTTGCAAATTTCAAATCCGATTACTATCAACAACTGATCCTGTAGTATTTTCATCTTTCGATTACTGAGCCACTCATGAATCTCTCTTAACTTATTAAGCTGTGAATTAAAAGTGGAAATAAATTCAAGAATTTAATTAAATCTGAAAAAGTCGTTCTAACTATGCTAAAATGTATTTCAAAACTTCGATGTTTGCTTGTTTTGCTTCAATTGTGCAAAATATGAATCAAAATAAACTTTTATTTGATTATTCATGAATATCATAGAGCATATAATACTTGTAGAATAGATAATTGCTTCTCATCCACTGAATAACGTTCCATCAGTTTTCTTATTACTGAAAAAAGACAAACTATTACACTAATACAAAATAGCAAATAATGATAATTTTATAATCAATGGAGATAAGATAGCCTACTCTGTTCACTGCATGAATAGAAGAACAGAATTCTTCTAAGAATGAAATTCTTTTAGAAAACTTACAGAGATGAACAGGTGAAAAGTTATCATAACAATGCGGATAAGATATACAGACATGAAAACGTATTCCAAATTTATACATTAAGAAAATAGCATTTCGAAGAAGACAGGTTAACAATTAATCAATCAATCAATCAATCAATCAGTCAAATCATCAGTCAATCAATCAATATTTGAATTGCTTTTTAATTAAACATAACTTGTATCTAATTAGTAAATAACATGATTAAAAAATCATTCCAATAATCAATCTGAGGTAAACGTTTTCAGCGTGATAAATTGTTATTCGATTACATCATTTGATAACGAATTTTTGCTCCTTGCACTTTTATTTTTCCATTTGGTAACGAATTTTGCACTTTCACTTCTTATTTTTGCTTCTTGCACTTTTATGTTAAAGTAATTTGCAGAGACGTTTAATTATTATATAATTCAAAAGATTTATGGTTAACTATTTTCTGGCTTTCGAGAACTGAAAGTTGCAGTTTTTTTCGCTTATGTTGATATCCGCTGCTTTTCATTTTCAGCCATTTAGTATGTTAAATACGTGATCTATTTTGTGGTTTACGACTTGGAGAAAACCATCTACTGTTCTTATTTTGATCAATATTGAAAAATGAAATGAAACTCTTTAGCACCTCAATTTAAATCCTACCTTTGCTTAACTGCCTGATTACACTTTCGATAACTGTGGAAGTTAGAAAATATCAATGTGCAAATAAAAACTACACAGAAATTATTATAAAAAACAGACCATTCTTTGTAGCTTCATCCAAAAACAGTACAGCGATATCAAATCGGGAAACATCGGCTAGCTTAATCAAACATTCTAACATTTGAGAAATGTTTGATTCATCGGCAAGGTTATCGAAACCGACTATTAAACACTTAATCATTTCGGTTTCAATTATTTCATCGAGCAATTCGGCATAGTGATTCTTATCAATTGACTAGAGAAAAATGAATGGTGTAGTTTTAAAATTCAACGCATTTAAAAATTCATAATTTATTAAAAAAAAACCAATTTTTAAGAAGCTATCCTGCCAATGTATCAATTGCTTTCAGTGTTATCTTTCACTAAACTAAAAATAACAATGAACGATAAAAAGGTGCGATATTGGGAGGGAACAAATAGAGAAAATAAAAACCTTATTGTTGAAGGTTTCATAAATTCATACACAATTAAAAGATTTACCAAAAAATAAAATGAATGGAAATCTAGCGGAAAAGTAAAAAAGCTATAAACAATAGCTCACCAAAAAGTATTCGACAAATGCTATCGGCTTGTCCTTAAGTTTGTGAAAATCAGAGATAAAAATGAATGATGTCGTTGGAGGAGGTGGAATTTCCAGTAACAATTCCTGATAAAAATAATTAACATTAATTCCAGAAATACTGAGAGAGATAATGGTAGAAATTGGAGATGAATAATCAATATTGTTAATTTCAAAATAAAATTACGGACTGCTTATTAAATTTAGAATAAATCTGCAAAAATTCACAAAATTAGAGTATGAGGACTCGTACTAAGTGGTCGATAGCGTGAAATTAGTGAATGAAAGAAGTTACGCAATAAAACAAAGAAAAGAATTCGCTTATCCAATAAACTTTCTTGTGAATGAGAAAAGCAAACAATTATTTCGAAAACTAAATTACCGTGGGAAATATCTGTGATTTTTTCTGAATTATTTGGTCAGCTGATTTCATCCTCACTATCTCGACATTTTCAATTTTCATTAATGGTACTTTTGAACGAAGGAACTCATCTCTGTCACCACACAACAACTTCAGTTCTGCACAGTTAGCCTTTGAAAGAAGTTTATACATTATGTAATAAACAAACCATTGTACTTTTTGAAAGGATGGACCAGAAGGAATTTCTAAAAAAGCAACGAAACATCTAATAGACATTTAAGCTAACTATAATTTTATAAAAATCTCGTGAAATTTGGGAGGCTGTCTTAGGAGTAATTAGGAAGATTTCAATAGTTGCATATAGCTCACCTTAGCATTATAGAAATATTGGAAACTAAAAACAATAGATTGCTTAACCTTAAAAAGAAAAATCAAATTTTTATAAAAATTTATTAAAAATACCTTATTTTGAACATTTTGTTTCAGCCTTGCAATTTCTTTATTTTTTGGATTATTTAAATCAATTTTTGAAATCTTTTCAACTGCGACTTCATATAAGTGCAAATTTTTTAATGCTTTTGCATACCTGTAAATGAAGCTTCGATTCAGTAAACTAATAATAGAAGCTATTCTATTCCTTGATATAGATAAGTTTTACGCAGCAGACAAACCACAGCTTATATTATCGATAAAGGTAGGGACTCACCTTATGTATAATAAATAAATAAATGAATCAAATCAATTAATTAACTAGAAAAATTAAATAAGTAAATGAATGATGAAATAAATAAATGAGTAAATAAATCATTTATAATATCAATTATACCGACATTATTTCAGACGTTTTTTTAGAATGAGCCTAAAAATTTTCCAAAAAGTTTGATAGAAGAGTGAGGACAATTCTAGAAGGATAAAATCATGATGCAATTTATCACCTCAATTTGGACAGGAATTCAAAAAGTTATAGACATATGAAATACATTAACATATGTAAAAACATTACCATACATTACCATAAGTATCGCTCATGCCAATGCAATGAGTTAACAACCAAATATTTATAATTTATAAAAAAATTAATTTCCAAATCAAGAAAGTTGAATTTTTACCTAAATACTGCCTTTATGTTGTTTGCATCTAATTCTAAAGCTCTCGCAGAATCCATTAAAGCTCTTTCGTACCTATAAAATTAGGTTTTTTTCAGCAAAATTTGTCTAATAATTCCAGAACTATAGTAGTTTCACATATTTTCTTATTCACTTTATTATTAACTCTAATAAATTAACTGAAAGCAAGAATTAAGGACTAATTTCTTACAAAGATTAAATTGTAATAAATTTAAACAAAAAATAAAACATAAAGAACGTGCTGTTTGGTATTGAGGTAAGCCTGAGCTCTGTTCGCCAGCACTGGGGATGTTTCGTTACATTCCAATGATCTTGTATAACTCATGATAGCATTATAATAACGAAATGAGCGAAAATGTTCGTTCCCTTCGGAACGATGTCGTTCTGCTTCTGCTGCAGTTGCTGTTGACTCGATTTCCGTCATTCAAGTAATTCGAACGTTTTGAACTAAAATTATTATAATTGAATGCTCTTAAAAATAACAATACTACATTTTGATAAATGTAAGAGTTAACACCCAAGAAATCGAATATATTCAAGTCAGTTCCGCAACAGTAAAATATGCTTTCGATAATGTTTCGATCTTACTTCCAATAATGTTTGATCCAAAACGGATACGTATGAGATCACTTCCAAATAACCATGTATATAAATGTTCCATGTAAATGGAGACTTCACCAATCCATAAAAAATCTTTCATAGGAAAATGATTGAGTTTGAGACAGAAAAGGTTAAAGAAAATTCAGTTAGGACTAGATAAAAGATGTTATATTAAGCATTACATTCAAAAATTGCCGTGCTAATATGCCAATAATTCTATAACTTCATTATAAAAAAGAAATCCTTCACTAAAATTCCGTTTTCAAAGCATGGTCGCGTTTACAAGTGACAAGGTAAATTTTTGAGTTCCAAAACAAAATTAGTTGAAAACTTAATTTAACAGAAAAATTCATTGCTTAATACCGTTTACACAAATCATCTAGGAATTATCATAATCATCTAGGAAAGTTTGAAATCATATTGATGAATGGTTTGCAGGCTTAATAACCTTATTAAATTTTTATTAACGATGCGGCAGAGGAAATTAAAATTTTATGCTTTCATAAAAATCCAAATGTTGAAGTTTGAAAATTCGAAACGTTTTTGAAAAAATTATGATATTCTAACCCGTTTTTTAATTCCAAAATTGCACATACTCAAATAATTATGGAAGACTGAAATTTCTGAAAAATACATAAGATAAGACTAAAGTTATAATTTCAGGAAGAAAAAAGTGATACGAAACAATGAATACCAACTGATCAACAGCCAATAGACACGACAATGATGATTCAAGAGCCTTAATTTAATTCGAAGTTAGAATCTCTGAATTACACGAAAATTCAAGTGTGAGAGATGACTAAAAAAGCATATCAACAAGTCAGTTTATTATTATCAAGAAATGAATTCTTAAAATTACCATATTTATATGCTAACAAGAAAGGAAGTTCACAAGAAAGGAAGTTCACATTAGAAAAATCTAAATTCCGTTAACGATTTGAAATAAGTTATACGGAAAGTTAGAAAAGTATGCTATACAATGATTTATACAAGACTGCCAAATCCCTCAGTATAAAGTCACTCTTAAATATGTCTGTAAGAGACTAACCCATCTAAACATAATTCACCGAAACACTCATTAAACTCTCTTTTGATTATCGATTAAACAAAAAGCAGGAAAATAATTCGCCTTACATTCACACAAAATTTAAATGCAATTTAGCCGTTCGATAATCCATTCGAAGTTGTATGAAACTATTAACCATTCTTCGATCAGTGTCAATCTGAAAAAGATACCAAATAAATGTTCACATATTAACGCATTCAAAGGAATTAAAAGCCTCCAAAGACAATAAAAATTTTTCCACCAAATATTTCAAAAGTTTACGTAAACTAACCAATAATTGTGATGAACAGGCTTCGTTTAAATTTTCGGGAACAACAACTAACAAGTTTGCAAGTGCATGTAAAGCTTCAAATTTTGTACCAATTTCCGGAATTTTCCAACTAAGCATACATTTTCTGGAACATCAGCCAATTGTTTTAAATTCAAGTAAGAGATTTGCATTTTAATAAGCAAGAAATGTCATCTTTTTTTCAGAAGTCTTTTCACAATTCTGAATTCATCAATAACAAACTGACAACGTGGATTACACTGACTTAATAATAAAAACTTTCTCCGAAAAATGGTTGCTATGCCTCTTCCAGGCATAGCAACCATTTTTCTGGAAGAGTCAGTAAAATATCCAGTCAGATTTGGTGTGTCACTAAACTTTTCGCTTCCAACATCGAGTGATACAGCAACTTCTCAACGAATTTAAAAAAATTAAAAAACCGACCTATATTCATTGATATCACATAGCAAAAGCATAGCTCCGTGTGAATTATACGTGAACTGATATATATGCGTCAACAAAACTTTGTAGAAACGACGACCAAATTCTAGCATCAGAGTGGTCAAATTACCTCCGTCAAGGCTGTCACGTATTACCTGCACTTCTGAATTCAAGTATTTGACAACGAGGGCACAAGCCTGAAAAATTTATATTCAAAAATTATGAAAAGAATTTATTCCATACATTGTATAATGGAAAAATTAAGTCGTATGTGACAAAACTCTCCTCAGATAAACCGTCAAAACTTTCAACTCATTTTTCGTCAAGTTAGCTTCTAAAAAAAGTAAACCGTAGTCTGTTATACTCAGTTAGCTGAATTGACTTTCACACATTCATCTATATTGCGAAAGCATTCACACAAAGGAAAGTCTTTTCATCCAACTTTATAAAGCTACCATAAAATTTACTGGATTATATTATACGAAAGACATTTTCGAGAGATAAAACTAACATTAGACATAGCTGTCACCATTTGGTCTTCATCTTCCGGGCGAAAATCTGCCTTCTTTTGCTCATTGGTCAACAAGAAACGTATATAACCGACTACTGCATTAATTTGTCGTTCAAGTCCAAGATTTATCCGATTTTCAACATTACGTAGACAATCAGCACGTTTTTGTGTACAAACATCCTCAACAGGTGTACCGCTGCAAAATGAATCCTAGTAACTTGCTTGACGGAGAACGATTGAAATCAAAATTTCGAAATTTGAAAAGCTTCAAAGGTAATGAAAACTGATACTTTGATTAAGGAAATGAAAGGACGTCATGGAATATGTAAATCAAACTTACCTAACAAATGGAAAGATAGAATCATCATACTGCTTATGGAAAAGATGAGTAATAGCTACCGCTTGTTGAACAACAGAAAAAAAATAATTAGGAGGTTCAGTTTTTGGTTCAGCTAATGATATTCCTACAAATTAAGAATTTCATTCAGTGCGCTAAAAATGAGGTATAGAATTTCATTCAGGGCGTTAAAAAAAATGAATGAATTTTTTTCTGTACACACCCGCAAGTGAAAGATCAATTGCATAATCCAAATGTTCAGTATATAAAAATCGCAGAAGTATATCAAATATCATTTCTGTCATTTTCGGCGTTTCATCTTTATCACATAACTAAAACTGTATGCAAATTAAAATTTGCAGTAAAAATTTCGGTAAGAAAATAATTGCAAATAATGATCAAAATTTATTTTGTCATGACATCTCTTTGCACCTGAGAGAAGAATAATGAGTTAAGCAAATTTAAATTGAATAAAAATAGAAAACATTTCTCTCTCTTGCACAAAAAACAAAGAGATGCATCAACTAAGCTATCAAATATTGTTGAAGCGATATATTACCAGCTGGCAGCGTTGAAAAGCATTCTTCGTTTCTTGAAGTATGTTAATAGCTACTTCTTCGGATAGAAACGTTTCACCACCATATGTTTCCACATTCAATAATCTTGCTTGAATATCTCGTTTCAAGTCTTGCAACCTAATTTTAGATGTATGTATATATATATATGATTATCTGTCACATAATTATGATTATCATGTAATGATTGTGATCATTTATTATTATACAAGATGTGTGACAAATAAGCAACTATGATTATCTGTCACATAATTATGATTATCATGTAATGATT